CTCCAAGTACTATTGTGTTGATAGCAATGTCCTCCTTAACATCTGTTAGCAGTTGTTTTAAGTATCTAGCTGTTCCCTCATTAGGTGTTTATACATTTAAGAGTGTGGTTTCTTCCTGTTGTACGTATCCCTTGATGAAGAGAAAATGGCCTTCGCTGTCCCTTCTAATCTTTTTCAGCCTGAAATTAATGTTGTTGAATACTAGTATGGCCATCCCAGTTTTTTTGAGGGAGCTGTTTGCTTGCAGGACTGTTTTCCATCCTTTAACTATGAGTCTGTGTTTGCTCTGATTGTTCAGATGAGTTTCTTGTAGACAGAAGAATGTTGGTTTCAGTTTCTGGATCCATTTTGCCACTCTGTGTCTCTTGGTAGGTGCATTTAGACCATTGACATTAAAGATTATTGTCATGGGGTTTTGTGACATCTTTCTGTAGGTGTTGGTTGTGTTTATATGTGTTTTCCTTCTTATCTTACAGGAACTCCTTTAGTCCTTCTTTTAGATTTGGTTTTGAGTCTATGAAGTTCCTGAGCTGTTGTTTATCTACAAAGTGGTGTATCGTTCCATCGAATTTGAGTGAAAGTTTAACTGGACAGAGTATTCTTGGTGAGGCGTTCATTTCATTGAGTTTTTTCACTATATCCCACCATTGCCTTCGGGCTTGGTGGGTTTCCTCTGATAGGTCTGCTGTGAATCTAAGGGGTGCTCTTTTGTATGTAATTTCCTTCTTTGACCTTGCTGCTTGTAATATTCTGTCTCTGTCCACAGCATCCATCGTTCTGACTATGATATGCCTTGGAGTGTTTTTTCTGGGGTCTCTTTTAGCTGGTACCCTTCTGGCTCCTTGGATCTGGATGTCTGCATTCCTTAACTCTTGGAACTTTTCAGCAATGATTTCTTTGACTGTAGCTTTTTCATTGGGGTTGTCTCCCTGTCCTTCTGGTACTCCAATGATTCTAATGTTGTTCCTCTTGGCATCATCCTCTAGGTCTCTGATTCTCCTTAGAGCTATTTTGAGGTCTTTTCCTATTGCCTGTTGTTCCCTATGGGATTTCTGTTGCTCATCTTCAAGCTCACTGATCCTCGCTTCAGCTGCACTTATCCTATTGCTAAGGGCACTTACTGACTTTTTAATTTCATCTACTGAATCCTTTATTTGTGACACTTCTTTTTGTAGCTTTTTTATTTCTGCTCTCATTTCTTCCTGTATTTTCTCGACTATTTGTTCTATTGTTTCTTTCATTTCTTCTTTTAGTTTTCTGGATATCTCTTCCATCAATTCTTTGAGTAGATCCTTGAATAGAACCTTGAGTAGATCCTCTGCATTTCATCCTGGAATTCTTTATCAAAGAGAGCATAATTCTGGACAACCTTGGTTGAGGATTTAGCATTCTTTCCTTCATGTTCTCCTTGTAGTGGAGATTTGCGCTGTTTCTTCATGTTGTTTTGGTTGCCTAGAGGTAGAACCCTGAAATCACAGGTACTGTTCCCTCTTATCATGGGAAAGGATTTTAGATAAGGTTGTTCGATGGTAGCCACCCTTCTCCCTTTCTAGATTTCGACCTTCTTCTCAATCAGGCATTATTCTTTGTTTTATAACCAACATTGAGTGAAGCGTTGGAGGAGGTGCTTTTTAGTATTGAGCTTGTATAGCTCATTTCATACAGGTCTTTTGTTAGAAATGGAGTAGGCGAGTGAGATGTTGTTGTACTGTAGTAGAGGTGGTCAGAAATTTTTGGTTGGTATTAAGTGACAAAGTGTGGGTTGAAAGTCCTGAAAGCTCGGATTGGGAAGTATAACTGTGGCCGCCTTCCCAGGAGAAGGCCACACCCACTTCTGGGAGACCAAGCCCCCTACGTAGTGGCCACGTCCCCGTCCTGTCCCAGAGTCACTCCCACCCAGGATCCTGGAATGGAGGAGGGGATGGACAGTCCCACGGAGCTGCGGCTGGTATCCCCCGCTGGAGGCTGTCTGGTTCGGCGGGCCATTCTAAGTTTTTTCCCAAAAAAATAACTCAACCATTTTCAGCAGGAATCTAAGAATATGCATATTTTGATTTAAATAAAAAGATTATCCTCATTTATAATGATATACTTTTGTATAATCTATTCAAATTTTTATCATATCTTTATACATTATGTATCTACATAAACATATATTTTAGTTAATCCCTTTCCCGTTTTCTGTTGTTGCAATGACCAGGGGTCACACACACTTGGTTACAGTGTTCACAGGAGTCTCCATCATTGTCACCCATTTTTTTATGACAGCACTCTCCTTTTGGAACTTACAGTCTCTCTGAAGACAAGAGCACTTCAAATGTCCTCTCTGGAGAGCAGATCATTTTATTCTTATAAAGTTATACTCAGTGAAATCAGTCAGAAGGAAAAGCATAGGTACAGAATGAGCTGTCTCATATATGTGCACTAATGTTCACAGTAAGCTAGTAACAAAGCCCCAAAGACAGCAGAGCAAGAGAGTTGCGCCACAGAACTGAACTTGTGGCGGGGGAAGGGGAGGCAGGGCTGAAGAGGGTGGGGCATAGATGTTGAAAAGGAAGAGACTTGAGAACCTTAAGGAGGGAGGTGGCCACTCTGGGGATGGGGATGGTGTTTGAATGATGTATACAGGAAACCATCATTCACAATTTTGTAAATCATAGTACTTAAATCAATAGAGTTTTTTTAAGAGAGAGGGAACGATTCTACCTGGACATTCACCCTATAGAAGCTTGGCCCTATTCTCCTGGAACTCCCCACTCAGGTCTCCTGGAAAATGGCTAAAACACACAACTGGGAAGGCTTTGTTCTGTGTGTATGGAACCTTTTCAGGAAGGCTGCCTCTTGGAACTCTTTCTGGAAGAAGGTTCTGGGTTTCTTTCAGACACAATAGTTCCAGCCCTGCATGACTAACTCTTGGCTGTTCTATTTCCCACAGTTTCCTTTGACTTGAAGCCTCTGAATCTCTCTCAAGGGAGTTCTAGAAGGAAATTAATGATAGTGGTACATTTCACAAGGAAATGCTAAAATAGCAATCAGTGGAACTATTTCCCTGATGTGCAGGTCTAAAGCACTGTGTTGAATCAAAAGTCTTGCTCAGTGAGCCAACTCATTAAATCCTTATGAGCAGTCATCCTCAGAAATTCTCTTGCACACACATTTTTCTGATAGTCCTGTCCCAGTTCCCTCCTATCAGGGTTGCTATTTCTTTTACTTGCCTCTTATCTACCTCTCTTTGGATGTCCCAAAAACAACAACAAAAACCACTCTAGATTTTTCTAGATAACTTTTATTTTCTATTACTGGTATTTCTCAAACTTCAGTTGAGATGAACCAGCTGGAACACTTATTAAAACACAGATTTCCATGTAGAACTAACCCAAGTGCCAGTCAATGGATAGATAAGCTAATAAAACGCGATAGAAATATACAGAGGCATATTATTCCATCTTGTAAAAAGGAAGGCAATTCTAAACCATGCAGCAGAATAGATGAGTCTTGGGGGAAATTATGCTAATTGAGTTAAGTCAGTTTATAGTAAAAATACTATATAGCTCGACTTCTCAGAGGTGGGTAGAGTAATCAGATCCATAGAGAGAGCAAGTCGAATGGCAAGGCTGCAGGGAGGGGGGAAAAGAGGCTGTTGCTTAAATTTGCTCTCTAAGTTGAAGATTTTAATTTGAGTTTCAGCTTTACATAAATATTTCTGGAGATTAGGGCCAGAGCGACAGTACAGTGGGCAAGGCTCCTGCCTTGCACATGGTCAACCTAGATTCAATCCCTGGCATTTCATATGGTTTCCCAAGCACTGCCAGGAGTTATCTCTGAGCACAGAGCCCTAGTGTGACTTAAAAAAAAAAATCAAAACCAAAAAGAAAAAAAGACTTCTGGAGACTGGTTGTACAACATTGCCATTGTACTTGACACTGCCGAATTGTAAACTTTAAATTGGATAATATGATCAATTTAATATTATGAAAGCCTGGCAAGGTACCCATGATGTATTTGATATGCCAAAAACAGTAACAGTAAGTCTCACAATGGAGACGTTACTGGACCCACTCGAGAAAATTGATGAACAATGGGAGGACAGTCACAGTGATATTTACCTCTCAAGAATGTCAGAGGTCAGGGTCATTAGAGGTGGCTGAGATCAAGTATATTAATGAAAATAAAAGAAAGAACAGTTCAACTCTTAACAGTATAGAATAACTCACAGTATAGAAACCTGCAGAGTAACCTACTCGCATCCATTCTTTCTACTCATCCAAAATGTAAAAGGCCCAGATTTTGAATGATTTCTCTTAACTTCTCTGTCAAGCAGAAGAAAAATAAGCAGAAAAAATAAAGCTGAAAACACAAAATCTTGCATGATCTTGATAAGTCCTTTGGTCATTAATTTTAACCCTGTTATGCCTCTTTCGCTCATTACATAAAAATTTAAAGCAAGGAGTGGGGGGAACCCAAAATCAAATGTGTTCTGAGATTATAATGGATTAATTTAAGATTAACACATTTTAGGCCAGTTCCAACAAGGTTCTCTGCTCTTACATTTAGTGATAAAGTGACTTTACTACAGATTCTGCTGCTGATCAGGAGGATTTGAGTGCAGCTATAGGCATCTAGGACAATCCCCGCTGGATCAACCTAAAAGGATGACATTGAGATTATTCTGAATGTGATAGGCAAAAATTCAGACCTGGTGGGCTGGAGCAATAACACAGCAGGTAGGGCGTTTGCCTTGCATGCAGCCAACACAGGTTTGATTCCCAGCCTTTCATATGGTCCCCCAAGCACCACCAGGAGTATTTCCTGAGTGCAGAGCCAGGAGTAACCTCTGAGCATCACCAGGTGCACCCCCCCCAAAAAAAAAGAAAAGAAAAGAAAAGAAATTCAGACTTGGCACGATATTATAAGATTCTTTTTGTTCACTGCTTGTCACAAACTGCTATGCTGTTTATTCTGTGTGAATCAATAACAATAAACCTCACCTTGCTTTCCAGCCTGGACTCTTTCTTATATGGTCTCCACGCCCTCTTCAAAGGCGACTTTCGAATAACAGCTCGAGATGAGTGGGTCTTTGCTGACATGGACCTACTCCACAAAGTCGTTGCTCCAGCTATCAGGATGTCTCTGAAGCTTCACCAGGTGAAAAATAAAAATTATTTAAACAATAGTCCTAAGCCTGAGACATTAGGACATGAAAATGAGCTTCTGAAGTTATAGTCCCCTCCTTTTTGGGGGTGCATGATATGACTTTTGTGAGTGGGCTTCTCACATAGACAGCTAGGCATCCCGACTATTCTTAACATGGTTTAGTGCTGTTTTCCCCCAAGTGATTCTTGGATGTGATGAAAGAAGGGAATTGGTCAGACAAGAAGTTCCCCAAACTTATCATCAGAGTCCCTAAACCATGAAGCTACTTTCTGAGATGCATTCCAGTATTTGGAGCTGGAGTGATAGCACAGTGGTAGGGCATTTGCCTTGCATGCAGCCGGCCTGGCTGAACTGGGTTCGATTCCTCCGCCCCTCTCTGAGAGGCTGGCAAGCTACTGAGGGTATCTCACCTGCACTGCAAAACCTGGCAAGCTACCCATGATGTATTCAATATGCCAAACACAGTAACAAGTCTCACGATGGAGACTTTACTGGGCCTGCTCGAGCAAATCGATGAACAATGGGAGGACAGTGCTACAATGGGATGATGGGGTCACTATGTGCCATTCAACTTCCAGAAAAAGAGCAGGTCGTCTGTCAAGTGTATACTGACCCCAGAATCAGGTTGTTAGCCTTCACCAAGCCCTCTGATTGCCTGAACTTCTTTCCCCCAGGACCAGTTCACTTGCCCTGATGAGTATGAAGATCCTGTGGTCCTCTATGAGGCCATCCAGTCCTTTGAGAAGAAGGTGGTGATCTGCCATGAGGGTGACCCAGCTTGGCGGGGTGCTGTGCTTTCCAATAAGGAGGAGCTGCTCACCTTGAGGCATGTGGTGGATGAGGGCACTGATGAGTACAAGGTTATCATGCTCCACAAAAGCTTCCTGAGCTTCAAGGTGATAAAGGTACAGTGGCCCAGCCTCCTAGGCTAACTTGAGTTTCCTATTTGTGTTATGTAAGAAGAGAAATGGCAGTGGGCACAGCTGCTAGAATTTCTGAGCCAATAACATCTGCTCAGAGAAGTAGCTATGAATGAGAACTGGCCAGGAGCAAAAGTGGGCTAGGGAGCCAGCATGAATTACTTCTGAACCCAATAATTTGGTTCCTAATGATTCAACTTTCCCTATTGCTTCAAAGTACTGGGCTGTAGCCTAGATTTCATTTTCTGTTTATTTGCTACTTTCCCATGTAAATGGTGTCCTGGCCAACCTGGAGCATAGCCATTCTGGTTTGACTATGAAAGAACTCCAGGCCAGAGTGTTATGGTCGGGGATGTTGAGAATAGAGCTTTGTTCCCTCACTGCATATCGATATTGCCCACTAGAGGGTTTGCATTCCTGCTCACACCACCACAGCAACACCTTCCTTTTCAAACCTGCAGGTCAACAAAGAATGTGTCCGTGGACTTTGGGCTGGGCAACAACAGGAACTCATATTCCTTCGCAACCGTAATCCAGAGCGAGGCAGCATACAGAACAACAAGCAGGTCCTCCGGAACTTGATTAATTCCTCCTGTGATCAGCCCCTGGGCTACCCCATGTATGTCTCCCCGCTAACCACATCCTATCTAGGGACCCACAGACAGCTGAAAAAGGTCTGGAGTGGACCTGTCGCTTTGGACAGCATTAGGACCTGGTTCCGAACCAAGTTATTAGGGTAAGTTTCTACAACCAAGACCTCTAAGAAGATGATGGGGAGTGTAATGGAGTGAACTGTCCTCCTTTTTCAGACAGTTCAAACTGCTATTCCTGAGATCATTTCTCAGATTACTGGTTTCCAGTAACAGTAGTGCATCAATGAGCAGCCTCATGTATGAGACTCTTCGCCCCTCACACTGCAGACTTGAGACTTGGGCTTGAGCTCTTGCAGAGTTAGGGAGATGGTAGGCTTCTGGGAGGAACTTTTGTACATCTGTTAAAGAGGAATCATTGAAATTCCCCTCGCACCCATCTCTCCTCCAGTTGATCTATGCAGGTTGTAATAATGTCTCTGGCTAATGGGAACGAATTCTAAGTTTTTGTTGTATTTTTATTTTAAATTTAATTATAGTTTAGGTCACATGTTTACAATAGTGCTGATGTGTACGGTTTTGATGTACACGGCTACTCACTATCAATAAAGCATTGTCTGTTTCCTCCAGTCCCCTTCAGAGTTCCCTCTCTCCCACTTTCCCTCTTAGTTGGAACTCCCAGTACCATAATTGAGAATGATGGGTTTGCCATCCTTTGATACTGTCCTTCCCCTTATTCTATTTCTTTATAAACTCCAATGTCCAATAATAAGTGAATGTATAAAAGAGTTTGTGGCAAATATACAGAATGATGTATACTATGCAGTATTAAGGAAAGATGAAATCGTGCAGTTTGCTGCAACTTGGATGGAACTGGAGGGTGTCATGCTAGTTGAATAAGACAGAGGGAGAAGGACAAATGCAAGAGATCCTTGCTCTTCAGTGACAGGGAATTCCTAAATATTTTGCCTGAATGTGGCTGAGCTTATCAGGCCTTCAGGCTCTGGGATCTTGTGGGATGTGGAGACAGCAACTGCTCATCCTGGTGCTCCCCTCGTTATTAAACATTGCACTTGCCGAGAGAAACCCCACTCTGCTCCTGCAGCCCAGGTTTTCTGCCGGTCTGGGGAGAGTGATCTTTCCTCCAGACTCAAGACAGTAATGGAGGGAAGGGAGGCATTTCAGAGGATTGGAAGTATTTGGTGGGAAGCTTTGAAGCTTTCCTCACTCTCACAGAATGCGAAAGGACTGTGATGCGGCTCAGCAGAGTGGTGGCAACATTGAAGACATGGACAGAACAGCGGGGGCTCCTCCCCCTGCAGGCAGCCACGCCCCCGGTGGTGAGAGTCAAGAGAGCAGCTATGAACAGCCCAGAAAAGATGGTACCCGCCACTGGTCACCCCATGAAGGGACACGGAGGACAGGTAGGTGCCACAGGAGCCTTGAGGTTTCTGTTAAACTCTGGTATCAGTGATTAATTCCATGGGTTATGTTTTAATTCAAACCTCCAAGAGCAGGGCTGGAGCGATAGCACAGCTGGTAGGACGTTTGCCTTGCACACAGCCGACTCGGATTCGATTTAGTTTAGGGCCTGCAAGATAGTACAGAGGTTAAGGCACTAGCTTCGCATAGGTCTGACACTGCTTGATTCCCAGCACTACATGTGGTCCTCCGAGCACCACAACACCAAACGTAATCTTTGAGCACAGAACCAGGAGAAATTTCTCAGCAGATTTGCGTGTGACCTAAGTCCCTCCCCAAATAGACAAAATAAGCACTGTAGAACTGTCGTCCCGTTGTTCATCGATTTGCTGGAGCAGGCTCCAGTAACATCTCCATTTGTCCCTGTCACGTGCTAGTGTAGCCCAATGGCGTTTGCTCGCTCCAGAAATACCAAGTGAGACGTGTTGTGACTGTTTTTGGCATATCAAATATCCCACGGGTAGCTTGCCAGGCTCTGCCGTGTGGGCAGGATACTCTCGGTAGCTTGCCGGGCTCTCCGAGAGGGACAGAGGAATCGAACCTCGGTCAGCTGTGTGCAAGGCAAACGCCCTACCTGCTGTGCTATTGCTCCAGCCCAAACAAAATAAAATCATATTTAATAATAGTCACCTCGTCAGACTCATCCAGATAGATGAGTCTGTGGTCTCTGCCACCAAAGCTCTGCTCTACGAAGAGGAGAAGGCCTGGGTCAAAAGGTGGCTTAGGATGGCTTCCCAGGATGATGCCCCAGGGAGCTGCAGGAGAGTCAAGTACATTTCCCTAGTTCCTACCCATCCTGTAGCATTGACTATAATTTTAAAAGTCTTTAATGTTGGCTTTAAACTTCAGGTGTTTATGGCTTCACTTTATGCCTTGGTTCCTCCTTAAAATCCATTAATAGTTTCTCTGTTCCCATGTCCCCTTTCAGTTCAGCCCAAGTGAGTCAGTGAGGAATAGTTCCTGTCTACTGGAAGTGGCCAGAGCAAGACTGAGTATTTAACTGAAATATTAAGGGAGGGGTCAGGTTCTATTGGCAAGAGGATAGACAGAGAAGTCATAGAGGGGAAGGAGAGAGGAATGATGGAAAAAGTCAAGGGGGAAGGGGCCAGAGAGGAGAAAGACTTCAGGAATTGGGGACAAGGATGCTTGGGGAGCCTCTCAAACCCGCATGACTCAGACAAAACAGCATTCCCTCCTTTCTCCAGAACTAGCTAGGAAGTGCCCCTCCCACTCATAGCCAGAGCTTGCAGCTGGCAGAGACCACAGACTTTGCCAAATGTCAGAGAAGGATCTTCTGAAGCCCAAAGCTGCCACTATTTTGTTATTATTATTATTATTATTATTATTGCTTCTTAAAACAGCTTCTACAAAGCCACACCTGGATTTTCAAGGTAACTGGCATGCTTGGAGACATAGCTCACAGTCTGGCCTCTTGGCCCTCAGAATTTCACCCCACCTGCAGGGAAATCTGCCCTAGACTCAGATACCAGCTGTCTCCTTGCTGGGGGACTTCCTGAAGCTTTGACACAAACCCCCATGCTGCTGCCCTGCTCATTCTGGCCATCCCAGTTACACTCATTGACCTCATCCTGCTCCTGTGGTCTCATCTGCCGCAGTCTAAGCACCAGTGCTCCAGCACTTACCGATGTGCTGAACCCAATCCAGGGAGTTTTACAACTGCGAATTTATTTGGTCTAGACTAGGATGCAAACAGGCACTTTCTCTATCATTGTTAGGTAAGGGCGTCAATTTCACAGCTGGAGAAACCTCAGCATGGAGAACTGAAACCCCACACAGTCAGAGAGGCTGCTCTGATATCATTCAGATCCAGAGCAGATGGACCCAGGCACTATCTGTGCTCCTGTCACCCGGGCCCTGAGATGCTGCCTTCCCTCCTCAAGTGCAGCCCCTGTCCATTAATCTGAGGACCATCTGTGCTGCTGGCAGTGTCCTTCTGCACTTTCCCTGATTTTTCCCCCATATACCAGCTGCCATAAGCCTCTATTACCAATGCTTTTCTTTCTGGTCCTTGAGTAGCTTAAGCCGATGCCCAGTGCCCAGTTCTTTCTCAAGCCATCCGGGTCCCCTAAGGGTGGTAGTGGGTGTGAGTGGGACAAGGGGCAGCCACAGTTCTCTCCCCTGTTCCCCAACAAACTGGCATGTCTCTAGAGACATTTTATTCCATGTTTTTTTTTCCCACCCTGGGATAGAGACTCCCACAGAGGATCTAGGAACTAGGAAGGGAGGAGAAGATGAACTAAGACTAGCCATCATCTTACTACCACCCACTTCATAGAAAGGAAGAATCTCACAGCTGTCTTCTCTAGCTGTTCATGCCATCACCATCCTGATACCTGCACACAATTCCCAGTCTCCTCTACTATAGCAATCAGAAGGATGTCACACCTTAAATCAGATCAAGTCATTCTTGGATTAAAGAAAAGCTTCCCCTCCCTCGGAATCAGCCCGTGCTCATTCCTTGGCAACAGTAATGCAGCACCACAGATCCAGTGACCTGCAGACATGAAGGAGGCTCCAGCTGTGGAGGAAAGAACCCACAAAACAGGTGTCATCAAGCTTGCTTCTTTATGGGGTATCTGCCAATTGTGGAAGCTTGTTGGCCTTTGGTGGATTCCGGCTAGTTTCACCACTCCACATCTGACACTTGCCCTTCCTATGTTTGTGTCTGTGTCTCAGTTTCCCCCTTTTAAGGAGAGCATCAGTCCTATTGCATTAAGGCCCCTATACCCTAATATGGGTTCATCTTAATAAATCACAACTGCAGCAGCTAGCAGCGCTGTTTGCAAATAAGGTCAGGTTGTCCTGTTGTGAGGTGCTTAGGTAAGGGCGTCAATTAGGGATTCAAGGAAAGGGCACCCTTTAGCCCTCACTTGGTCTCCAGGGCTCTGATGGGTCTGACAACTCTATTAATATAATCTTATTTTACCTTCCATTGACTCATGTTGCATGTCCTCAGGGCCTCTGTTGCAGGTCTTCCTCTTGCTTGAACACATGAGAGCATAGTCTTTGACTGCTCAAATGATCAGAGAAGCCTCAATCGGTCTTACACATGACTCCCATTCCCATCACTTATCTGTGATTAGGGACAAAGAGTTGTCCGCTGTATAACTGTACAACTGTACAACTCAGGACAGCAAAGCATATGATGTATGCTTAGTTGGGTTTGGGACATCATCCCACAAAGAGACCATGTTCTACATTCATCCTATGCCCAATCTTGGCCAGGCTCTGGGGCACCTGCGTGAGCCATCCCATCCACATCCTGCGACAATTTCTCTTGTACCTCTTTCTGCTTCTCTGGACCTTGATGCGCATACCTGAAGAAAGACCAAGGTCTGCTGTGGAAGAGAAAAGTCTGAGAAGGACGTTTGTACAGGTTCGGCTCAGGCAGAGATTCTGGAGCTAGGTACCCAATCACCTGGCAGGTGAGGTTGGTAGATACCCTGGTCTTCTTGGATTAGTGATAGTAGGAAAAGAACCCAGTGTGTTCTCTAACTTGCTGGTCCTATTTTCTGCTTAGGCCTAAGGTGGCAGTGAGCTCAGCAGACACAGATCACTCACAGACAACCATTGGAGCCTCATTTTGAGAACCATAGTATAGGATAAGCTTTGCAAAATTCATGTTGTTCAGGCTGATCTGACAAAGGCTGTTGTTTGAGCCTGGATCCCCTGGACCAACCTCCTCTTGGGCTGATACAGATGGTTTGGGAATGCCAAACCATTTTCCCTTATAAACACATATAAACTGATAACAAAGTGCTTGGCAAAGTACATTACATTGTTAAATAATTATCCTGAGCAAGACACATGCATTTAGTGTGTTTTATTTGTCCCGTTTGCAAAATTAGTTAAAAAAAAATCAAGAGCAAACAAAGTTGAATAAAAGGAAAATTTGAACCAATGAAATTGATGGGGGATGCGAAGGGAGTTTCCTCATCTTTAAGTAAGTATAGACCTTTCCCCTTTGTCCACTTTGTCCCTTTGTTTCCAAAATTAGCTGGGGAGTTTGTCCACTGAGTGTGGGTGGTCTACCCAGCAACAAAATCACTGGCTCATGGATGAATGTGGGCTAATTTTGGACTGCAATCAGCCCAGAAATATAAATCACAAACAGATGTTGAGCCTTGTCAAACTCTGAATAAACTAACAAATCACCATCACTGGGATTAATTCTGATGTATCAGGGTCCTTCTTCTCCCTCCTTTTTCACCCCCAGAATAGAAACTTATTCAATTCTTCAGTTTGGGAAAGGAGCCCCAAACCTGGGGTGACCTAGTCTTGTTTCGAGAGCAAACTGAGTTGGGCTCTGAAGACTGGTAGGAGAAAGCTGGTTGGGGATGCTTTAATAATTTCACTAGAGTGACATCTTTCCAGGTTCTGGCATGCCTCTATCACATAATACACACTACACTCAGGGTTATATGAAGTGTGAGGTAGAGACTCTTCCAGACATTGCAGTGAGGAGGGAGTCTGAAGGGAACCCTGGGCATATCTCCACATGAAACTTTATTCCCTCTGTAATTTCCTCTCCAAATATATGCCTTGAGGCTGGAAAACAGTACAGCAGTTAAGATACATGCCTAGCATACACCCAACTTGAGTTTAATTCACAGCAACACATGGTCCCCCAAGTATCACTGTGTGTAGCCTTGGAGACCACTGTCGGGGTGGCTCAGGTATTCCCTGAACCTCAGGGCCTGTGTGGCACCACACCCTTGGGCCCTTACATTGAATCAAATGCCCAGTTGGCCAATCATAGCAGGTGTGGCCTTGAGGCTTCCTGAGCACTGTTTGGGAAATATCCCCCCACCCCCTAAATATATGCCTCTGCTTGAGACTCCTATGTATACTATACATAAATATGTATGCACCCCTGCAGGAAGGATGAAGAATTTCATGTGGGGTAGGTGGAACAGGAGAAAATGCACAGGGAAGCCTTTTGGTTGCCCACCCAATAGACTTTGCTCTTTTACTGCTTGCCTAAATGTAGCAGCTCAGGAGACATGTCAATAAAACAATTGATACAGATGTGATATCACTAGCTACTCTCTTCCCAACAACACTTTAAAATTAGATCTAAATAAATATTAACTCTAAAGCTAACAGACCAGGGTTCTCACAGTGAAGCTCCTCAACTACTGAGTCCATAAAGCTGCATTGACACGCTCCTTAAGTTATCCTTCTTACAGAGATGAGGGCAGAACTCAATGTTGTGGGCAATCCAATTCTTTTCTTCAAAATCCCTTTCTTGGTCTTGTCTTGACAGGTCTCAGCAAGAGCTAGAGCTAAGAGGGGCCTCCCATGAAAGAAACAGCTAGCATAAAGGATCTGCTTTTTTTGGGTCACACCCGACAATGCACAGTGGTTACTCCTGGCTCATGCACTCAGGAATTACTCCTGGTGGTACTCAGGAGACCATATGGGATGCTGGGATTTGAATCCGAGTCGGCCGTGTGCAAGGCAAACACCCTACCAGCTGTGCTATCGATCCAGCCCCAAGGATCTGGAGCCATGTTGGAGATATGCATGTAAATGGAGGCTCCAGACTGACCTGGAAGCCATACCCATGGGAAGGGGATCCTCTTAAAGACCTTGATATGAAAGGGAAATAGACCTGCACAGTTCTTTTCCTTTAATGCATAAAAAAGTCACAACTGTTGATATAATTCAAGAATTAAAATTGATTAGATAATAAAGCTCCAATATTAAAACCAGTAAGTATAAAAAATCAATGTGAAAATTATTATATTTGATTGCAGGGTTGTTAAGTCCTTGTCTAAGAATTTGTTAAGATAGTTGTTAGTTGAGCCATCTGTTATTGTTTTTAATATGTTGAGTTTAGTTGGCTTCTATGTTACTTTCCTATCAAATTTTGTGTGCTCCTGCTGGAATTTCAGTATTGAGGAGTAAGAAGGTGGCCACCTGGTCCAGAGACTTCAGGATATATGGTCTGATCCAATGAATCTACATGGCAGTGACTGGGAGTGGTAGGCATGGCTGCCCAAGATACCAGCAGTATGGGGTGTTGGGAGAAGGCCCTGACTTTGAAAAACAACAGAGTTCTCAGCCTGGGCACCGGGTACCTGAAAGTATTTGCAGATTGGCATCTGCAAACGAATATTCACAAATCCGTGGAGTTGAGCTCCTGGCATGGCTGTAATGGTGGGATGCAGGTGCTGCTGCAAGAGCTTTGGCTGGATGGGTATTCTGCCCACCCACCATCCCAGGGTGCCCTGGAGTTTTCAGCTGCAGGGACTGGTGATTCCATAAAGTTTAGCTGTTCGGCATGCATCTTCTAGATTTAGCCAGGAATCAGTAGCACATAGACCTACTCATTTTCCATTTATTACTCTCTTCCTGGCAAGTCTTATTTACTTTACAAAATCAAGATACACTGCTGGCATTATCCTGGTTTACTCAGGACTGAGAACTTCAGAAGGTTCAGGACTCTCAGTGCAGGACACTGAGAATCACCAGGGCAGCCCTGGATTCACCAGAAGGGTCAATGCCCTCAGCTGCTGTTCTCCACCCCCACCATTGGGGCCAGCCCTTTAGTTGTGAGGGCCACAGGCAAGACTCATTGGGAATCTTTCAACTCTCAGGCTTGACCTTGGAGGTGGTAAGTCCCAATAGGTTCCCCACACCTCACTCAGCACAGACCCAAATGAAGACCTGTTCTGTTTTCTTTAAAGGCAGGAGGAAAGGCAGGAGTCAGTCTGTCCAGGCGCATGGGACCTTAAGCCAGCGGCTGCCCATCTTGAGTTCATCCGGCCCCATCCTAGAAAGTCACCAAGCCTTTCTCCAGACCTCCACCTCCGTCCACGAGCTGGCGCAGAGGCTGTCGGGCAGTCGGCTTTCCTTGCGTACCTCAGCTGCCTCCCTGCACTCTCAGCCCCCACCTGTCAGCACCACGGGACACCTGAGCGTCCGAGAACGGGCCGAGGCACTGATCAGATCCAGCCTGGGCTCGTCCACCAGCTCTACCCTCAGTTTCCTCTTCGGCAAGAGGAGCTTCTCCAGTGCTCTTGTCATTTCGGGACTCTCTGCTGCCGAGGGAGGCAATACCAGTGACACCCAGTCATCCAGCAGTGTCAACATAGTGATGGGTCCCTCTACCAGGGCTGCCAGTCATGCCACACAGGTAAGGTGCTCAGAGGGGGGTGATTGGATCAGGGCAGTTCTATGGACCCCTGGCCTAGCACTCCAGATCACCTACCTGCAGATACCCACTCTCTGTTTCAGAGGGTTCCGGAGAAACAAGATAATTAAATAAGACACAGGGTAGCTGTGCGCTAGAACAGGCTGATATCTGTGACATGTCCTAGATGAAATGAGACACAGTAACATCAGAGAGGGGCCAGATGCAGGAGCCCAGCAAAGTTGTCCCCAGTGTGTGGGTTTGCTCTGGCCTCAGTTCCTTGAAAGTCTGGCATTGCTGCCTGCAGCAGTTGAGGTGGAAATAAGAAAACAGATGTGGGGGCCGGAGTGATAGTACAGTGGGTAGGGTGTTTGCCTTGCACGTGGCTGACCCAGGTTCGATCCCTGATATCCCATATGGTCCCCCAAGCACTGCCAGGAGTAATTGATTGCAGAGTCAGTAGTAACACCCTGAGCATCACCAGGTGTGACCCAAAAAGAAAAAATAAAAAGAAAAAAAAAACAGATGTAGACTAAGCTTCTAACTTCTTTCTTTTTTGGAAAGCATTTCTCTGAGCCCTGTGAATCCACTGAAGCCACAGAACAGGGACAGTTTCGCGACCATCGTCTGGCTGAAGCTACGGTCAGAAATGCGGGGGTGATTTGCAGAAGAGCCAGCCAGGAGGACATGGGCCTGGATGATACCACTTCCCAGCAAAGTGCCTCTGATGAGCAGTGAAGGGGCACAAGGCTGGGAAGAAGCACCCCACAGTGAAGGGAGAAAGGGAAGTCTGTGCTCCCTCCTTGACCCCAAACAAAAACAGCAAACTCTGTGACCTCTGTGACACCTTTCCTGTGGAAAAATGAGAGCTGCTGTTAGAAAACAATATTTATCTCAGGTTCTTGAAAAAAAAAAAACTCATATAATGGAAAAAAAAAAAAAGATGGACCCCCTCACCTCCTGGTTCCCAGCTCACTTGTCTCTGAGCTGTCAATCACAAGAGGCACAGAACTCTTTAGTTTGCGAATCCAAAATAAGCCATGCCATATTTTAAAAGAACTAGAGTTAGCAGAGCACACTCTTTCCTGTCTGAAGAAAAGACAACTGCATGTGATATAACCAGCCTTCTATACATTGCTGCTGCCATGAAAAAGTATGAACCATGGCATAGACCATACTAGTAGCTGGCCATCTGCACCAACTTTAAATCCAAGTAGAAAGAAAATCTCACTTTATAATATTTATGCAGATGTTAACCACAAATTAGTGATAATTTTATTGCAAGAAATGTGATAATGCATGCAGTCATGTCTAAAAGATTCTGTGAAAGAGTCCAGTAATATCCCACAGTCCTTTAAGAATCCAGTGGAAGGAGCACACAAAGCCACTTTGGAATTGCATGATGCAACAGCAATCGAAACAATTGATTTCCTACAAGCCAGGCTGTCTCTTGATCCACTCTTGTCTGCTTCCTGGGAATGTATGCTTCTGTTTCAAGCCAAGCAGTCCTTACTGTATCACTTGCACAAACCTTTGTTTTTGGAATTAAAAAGGTTTATAGTTATTGCTGTTATCGTTTAATTCTACTCCAAGTGTCATTTCTTTTAAAAATATGAGTTTTGTTTTTACTGTGAGAATGACATGGAAAATTCTGGGACTTGCCCCATCTTAAAATTTTTATTCAGAAAAGCTAAAGCCAGGTTCTAGTTGCCATGAGGGAGAGGTCACAGAATACAGTTTGTGAACATATCATCTATTGAATCACTTTATTCTGAAATAAACACACTCAGTTTGAAGTCAAAGTATTTGCTCAAATTTTTAAAATTAGAAAGTGTCAGGAAAGAGGAAGGTATTGCAGAAAATTCTTTATTCTCTGGAAGTAGGTAATATGTATGTGTGTATAAAAGAGGAATTAGCGATGAATACCAATAGGTGGGCTCTACAATCAGAATCACAGTGCATTAAATGCAGATTAACAATCTCTGGAGATACAGACTTGGTTATTTCTGACATAAATGCAGGTGTCTGTCTAATGAGAAGCTGATAAAACTTTACTGCAATTCTTTCTAAATTGTCCAAACCGAACTTAGTTGGCAGCTCCTGAAATCCTCTGGGCATCTTTCCAGCCAAACCCTAAAGCCCTGAGCTGTGAGTGTGGCCTCCCCTACATGAGTGTCACCTTGAATTTAGTTAAGAAAAATGACATGCCTGGCAGCAATCATCTTGATGTACAGCTGACTGCTCCATGGTGACCCAGAAGTTAAACAACAACAAAACAACAAATACAGAAAGCCACCAGGTACCAATCTGTAAAGCTATAGCAATGCAAATGAGAAAGGAAAATACAAGCTCCCATCTTCTACAAGAGATTCCTAAACTGCTCTCCTGATGGTTGAATCTGATTTAACCAGTTCTTGGTAGAGCCTTTTGAGGAGGAGCAAGAGATTAATAGTCTATCAATAACAGAAAGGCTGACTTTCTCAGAAACAAAGGCAGCTTTCTGCATTATCTATGAAGAGTGACATCTTGAATGCATGAACTGAGACTGTAACCATGGACACACACATATCCACAGGTATATATGCTCACAAAAGGACATCACTGTTGGACCCATTCCAGGACTTTTCATAGATGTATGGCCAACATCAACAATGCAGTCACACTTTTTAAAAAGATTTGTTGAACAACTTTTATATTTACTTCTCTTGAGTTTGTTTATCTGGCCTTCAGCCAGTCAGCTATTTATTGGAACATATTCCTTGCCTAATATTGTTTTATTAGACCACATTTTAAGGAGATGTTATTAAAATGACATTTCTTGCTGAAGTTATTCATATCTTTCACAGCAAACAGTGAATTATTTTCTGCATTTGGATACTGAACAAAATTGTTTCTCCTCTAAACATACTATGAAAATCTTAGTGCTTGATTTTATATAAATCATGTGATTAATGCAAAATATTGATTCTAAATTTTGCACTGTGTTGAAACCATCTGTTTCTGACAAACAGTTTTCTAAATATCACTGGAAGTTCTGACTTCTTTGGGCCCCAAATATGTGCTGTCATTGCCTATTTACTCAGCTTTCTCCTAGGCTCTGACACTTCTTCCATTGTTTGTCCCAGGTCATCATGCTTCAGAGACATATGCGCACCCTCCTAAGAACACCAAGATAAACTGAGAGAAAATAGGGGCCAGATTCATAACACACATTCTACTTTTTAAGAACTACCATTACTCCTTGCCCTCTTGATGAATTGAGGGCTCAAGGATGAACTTGTAACTTTAATGAGCTCTCATCCTGTCTCAGATAACCTGAGATTATATTACATGAAATTAAAAGTCTTGTCTATCTCCCTTCACATGCTTCTTCTCATTCAGCAGTATAGTCACGATATAGCTTTTCTCATATTGCATAAAACGGTTCTTTCTCCACACAGGAAAGAGAGAATGACTTCCTAAATTCATTCCCAAGTTGGTTGGTATGTCCTATCCAAGCATATTATTTTAGCTTAAACTCCAGACGCAATGCATGTCCATTTTTGCTGCTTTCAAAGTGAATTCTTCCTAGCATCCTGAATTCCTATCTCTTAAGACATTTGAATTGGATGGATAGAGCACTTCAGACTCAGTTAAAAAGAACTTTCCTGATTTCAATCTGTCTCAATCACTATCCTACTTTCTCTCGAAGCCCCTTATTGCAGTTATTGATGCCAACCCTAAGGGCATTCCCTGCTTCCCTGCTCCTGGATTGTGTTCAGTGATTGACTCACCTTCAAGTGGATTTCACAACTCTTCCTCCTTAAACTCCAATAGAATAGAATGCTGTTTCTACAGACCAGACATATTTGGTCCTGGGTTACTTTTTGGTGAATTCATCTTATCTGATATGGCTGTGGGGAGAGGGGTACATGGTATTAAACAACACACACTTAATTCTACAAGTTCTGAAGGCTGGGAAGTCCAAGATCAAGGTAGCAATGGATGCAGTATCTGCTGAGTTTCCTCTCTGTATCTCTCACTGTGTCTCAACACGGGGATGGGCAGGGGCTCCCTGGGGTACCAATCCCCTTGATAAGGCCTCAGTCTTACCACCAAATTTCCTTCAAATGTCACACTGTGAGTTAGATTTTAATGTATAAATCTGCCAAGGACACACTCAGAACACAACATTATCTTTTTAAAAGGTAAAGGTAAAGGCCCTCCCGTTGATCGTCGATTTGCTCGAGCGGGCCCAGTAACGTCTCCATTGGAGACTTTGTTGTTACTGTGTCTGGCATATCGAATACTCTCGGTAGCTTGCCGGGCTCTCCGAGAGGGGCGGAGGAATCGAACTCGGGTCGGCCATGTTGGCCGCGTGTAAGGCGAATGCCCTACCGCTGTGCTATTAAATGTCAATTTGTAAAATACAGGGCTTCCCCTTATGTCTTCATGCTTAATGGTACTTCAATTCAACTAAATAGCACAATAATTATTTAAGGTCTGTCATAATCAACACTAAATTGCCTTCCAACTTTCTGGAAAGTTCTCACAGCTAGACATTAAGCCTGAAATTTGGGGTTCTCTGATGTACAAGGACACAATAGAAGTAGAAGAGAACATGGCTTTCAAAGTTACAGTAACTTGGATTGTTATTCAGTGGGTACCACAAGATACTTGGTTTATCACCATTCAAAAGAAAGGAGGCAGAAGCCCAGCACCCTTTCGTTATGGGCCAAACCAATCTACTCTACACAGTGGGCACTCTGACACCGACACCCTTGGCCCTCCTTAAACACACATGGATTTAGTTCCCAGTGCCCTTATAATAGCTATTATATCCTTCCTGAATAAACTTCACTAACTTTCCTACAAAATTAAGACAAAACCAGTCCATTCAACAGTCACGACTAAAAACACTGTGCTCAAAAAAAAAAAAAAAAAAAAAGCAGGGGTGGCCCAGGTAATCCCAAGCTCCACAGGGCTCACTCAAGCAGTACCTCATTTCAGGCTTCCTCCTGAAACACAGGTCCTGTTATTGTGGAAGGGTCCCCAGGGGCTCATGAGTACTGTCTGGGAAGCCAACCCCTCCTCATCCTCCAAAATGCATCTTAAATAAGAGCAGGAGGGAAATGTGCCCTCAAATTTCAAATGCATGAGGAACCCTGCAGACAGAGTGACTTCTGGGGGTGGCTATAAAGGCTCCACCTTGAGAGGGGTCCACTTCAACCTTACCTAGCATGGGTGCTGGACCTGTTTTCAAGGGATGCAGAACATTTCCGGAGCCCGTTTCTCTGTTCTGAGAGCTCAGTGGGGGTCCCTGAGGGCCATGGTAGTCAGGGAGAATGGATTTAGTTTAGGGTCTGTTACTCAGGGCATTGTGGGACACCCCTTCTAGCTCTGGAAGCATTGGCTATCCTAGAGCCAAACTCGCAGATCACACCTATGCCTGGTGCTCCTCTCCCTGTTCCAGGGAATGAAGCTGAAGTCACACCAGATCTGTGAAAGAGCAGGAGTTCAGACTCCATAAAAACATACAACTATGCAGGGATAGTGAAACAGAGATGCCCTCTTCGTCAAATAAGACACATCAACCTTTTTAAGACCTATTAGACCTTTACACCATCATGATCTATTAGACCATTCAGAGATCCTCCAAAGGTTTGGCAAATTTATACCAATCTATAGGAAGTTGAGGAATCTGAGGAAAAAAATTTGTCAGAGGCCACAGAACTGTCTTGTTATAGAGACACAAGGGCTCCTTGCACTGTTGTCTGCATTCAGTGTCCAGTTCACAGGACACCTTACTCCATACATTCTAGAACCTGTGCCCCATACAGAGCAGCACTGGTATTAATGCCTTGAAGGCGGGCATTAAGGCTGGTTGCTAAAAAATTACTCTAAGTTGTTTTTCACCAAAATTTATCTAAGAATACTATATATTACTTCGGTAACAATCAACCATCTGGAGAGCAGCTTTATCCCTTTAGGAATTCAGGAGTTCCAGTAGCCTTTTATACAATGCCCTGCTATGGGGCAAAAAACAGATTTTATCATTTCAAGCAATCATTCTTGACAGACCTAGCCAAAGCCCAGGCACTCTTCAGAGACTGTGGGGCTACTAACTAATGATGCTTCCTTTCATGGTGTGGCACTGCCTTGCTCTACTCATTCTCCCTTTTTTTTCTAGAAGAAAAACAAGGCACAGAAACATGTTAAGACTATGTCGCTCTAGTCTACAGAATGGGAAAGGATATTCGCCAAATACATCTGACAAGGGGTTGATATCAAGGATATACAAAGTACTGGTTGAACTCCACAAGAAGAAAACATCCAACCCCATCAAAAAATGGGACAATGAAATGAACAGAAACTTTCTCAAAGAAGAAATCAGAATGGCAAAAAAGCACATGAGAAAACGCTCTACATCATTAATCATCAGGGAGATGCAGATCAAAACCACAATGAGATACCATCTCACACCTCAGAGACTGGCCCACATTCAAAAGAACAAAAGCAACCAATGCTGGCGTGGATGTGGCAACAAAGGGACACTCCTTCACTGTTGGTGGGAATGTCCACTGGTTCAGCCCTTCTGGAAAACAGTATGGACGATTCTCAAAAAATTAGAAACTGAGCTCCCATTTGACCCAGCAATACCACTCCTGGGAATACATCCCAGAGAGGCAAAAATGTGTAGCCAAAGTGACATCTGCACTTGTTTGTTCATTGCAGCACTCTTTACAGTAGCCAGAAACTGGAAGAAACCTGAGTGCCCAAGAACAGATGACTGGTTAAAGAAACTTTCGTACATCTACACAATGGAGTACTATGTAGCTCTTAGAAAAGATGAAGTCATGAAATTTACATACAAGTGGTACAACATGGAAAGTATCATGCTAAGCGAAATGAGTCAGAGAGGGATAGACATAGAAAGATTGCATTCATCTGGGGGATATAAAGTAACAAAATATGAGATTAATACCCAAGAGTAGCTGAGATCAGCACCAGGAGGATTACTCCATAGCTTAGAGGCCAGCTGGGTTATTCTAGGGGAAAGGGCAGCTCAGATAGAGAGGGGAGCACCAAATGGAGGGTATTTGTAGGATCCTCCCAGGAGGGGAGATGCATGTTGAAAGTAGACTATGGACTGAACATGTTTGCCACTCAATGCCTCTTTTGCAGACCACAACACCCAAAAGGAGAGAGAGAACAAAAGGGAATGCCCTGCCACAAAGGCAGGGTGGGATGGGGGGGATGGGGGTGGGAGGGATATTATCCATGGTGGTGGAAAATGGGCACTGGTGGAGGGATGGGTATTTTATCATTGTATAATCAAAACCCAAGCACAAAAAATTGTAAATCTACAAGTGTACCTCATGGTGTTTCACTAACAAATAAATAAATAAATAAATAAATTAACCAAAAAAAAAAAATGTTGCTCTCAACATGGTCAAAGTGTCAGAGTCTGCTGAATACCAAATGCTGTGAATTTTTCTGAAGAATGCTTATCCCCCCTACTCCCAAAAAAACCCTCAGTTTTGTAAACTTCACATTTAAAAAACTTTATTATTAGGCAAATAAACAATACAAGATGGATGGAGAAAGGACCTACAATGGGTTTCTTTTGAAATAACAATTTTTAAAAAGCACATTATTTATTATCAGCGTAAGTTGCACGTGCCTGCAGCTGCACCTGGAGAGGAATTTAATTTTCTTGATGTGAAAAATTGATTACTGAATTCTTCCCCTTCACTTGAACACATTATAAACTTCAATGAGGGAAAATTCCATCTGAAACTCTGAAAACAATTCTTTTTTTAATTTCAAAATTTACCCAAATCATATGCAAGACTGCATGAGGAAATAAAAAGAAATATTTCAGCATAAACAAACCTCAATGGATTGTTAATCATATAGAGTCAATCCAGCCTTAGAGCTAATTTAGTCTTTTTAAACATTTTATGGAAAACAGCTGTCAGGCATTCTTCAGGAAAGCCCAGGAGGGTTTCTGAAGCCCATGGCATAAAACCTTGATGCGGAAGGCACTGATCAGACTCCTCAGGAGCAGCCACGGTAGTGATGCAACTTGTTTTCACTTCCTGCTGCTCTGCACACACATCACAATATCCTGCAGAAGACGGTTTCTGTTTTCCTTGGTGACCTGTGGGGAGAAGCAAGTGTGGAATTTCATCATTCTTTTTCTTTGTTTCAATCCTCTTATACCCGGAATGAAGAGGCTGAAAACCAGCAGTGGCTGAGGGCTGTCTGTGACTCACAGAGGACTCCTCTCGTAGAACCCTCTGAAAACAGGACAGGGCTGGCAGAATCTCCAACACAGCACAGGAAGCACCTAGGAAGTGCAAGTGGATTTCCAAGATGGGTCGATCTGAACCAGGAAAGCAGCTGTGGCAATGGCCAAAGGCTCCAACCCAATGGCTTTATTGTGTTGAATTGCCAGAGCAGCAGGGCACTAAACTCCACACGAGGCCCTCTAGGAAGAACTATGGGATACAGAACGGAGCACAACAGGGTCCCCAGAGTATAAACTGACAAGGCTGGAAGGCCACCACTGTGGCCATGAATTCTAGGTAACTTCAAGGATCGGTAATCTCAACACTACATAAACTTAAAAATCAAGGGGGCCAAAGAGATAGTACAACAGGTAGGGTGCTTGCCCTGCATGTGGCCTTTCCCCCAGTACTGCCATATGGTCCCCTGAACACTGTCAAGAGTGATCCCTCATGCAAAGCCAGGAGCAAGGCCTGAGCAGAGTCAGATATACCCCCTCACAAAACAAAACAAAAAAAGAATGTTGCAAGGAGTCTCTGACACCAGTCACTCATTTGAAAAATGGGGAAATTGAGGAATGAAGAATTACAGGAATATATTTCTCTGAGAACCCAGAGGCCCTTGTGGAGCTAGTACAGAGTAGAACTTGGGTCTCTTGATTTCCATGTGCATTCTCATGGAAATCATTACCACTACAGAAACAAAAGCAACAAGAATTTATTTAAACTTAAGATTTTTTTTCTTTTTTTGCTACCATAACCTCAGAGAGGCCAGGAAAGGAATTCAGACTTTGAAAGGTATGCTGTTCCTCTGTGGAAAGGAAGGCTACCTCCTCTCCATCACCAGCACCTTCCTGTTTGGGCCATACAATATTCAGGCATTCAGCTTGCAGATGGAGTATGAGACAGAAACTGGGCAAGGTGCCGGAGCCAGAGAATATCTTTTGTTTGATAGATATAGGGAATTAGCTCAGTCAGGGAGTGCAACTGGGCGCTGAAGATCTTCTTTAGAGTTTGAAGACTGAAACCAGTGACCTAAGCAGCAAGTGGCTGCAGCAGACATCCTAACACTGTCTGTGGACATTATCCACTTACTGTATAATTGCTAGCGCATGTCTGGGCCCACTGAAATGAAAACCATCAGCTCTACTTTCAACTTAGAGAGAAATGGCACTCAGACAAGGTTCTTGCTGTCATCTTAAGTTTGCTGAGCTCCATTTCTGACTGTGTCTGCATTCAAGGAAATCAAGATATATGGGAGGGAGAGGGGACAGAAAGGCGCCAATGAAGGGAACTCAGCAGGCTAACTGGGGTGGTCTTGTGTGGCAAGGTCGAGAAGCAAGATATTGAGCCATTAGTTCCTTTTATACAACTTGATTTCACTAAGAATGACAATCTCTGCCTTCACAAGCTTTCAGGTGACATGTGCCTGAAGAAGAAGGGAATTCAAAAATGATGTGCTTGAGACTACTTCCTCTGCTCTGAACATTTTGTCACTTTTTCCATAAATGTACAGGATAACAGGCTGAACTGAGAAATAGGGAATGTAGAGGAAAGAAAGGAGGGTGAAGAGTAAAAGAGAAACGTAATATAGTGGGAGAAAGGAAGGGAGAAAAGAAGAGAACACTTTCCCCGGTGAAAAGAATGAACTATGGACTCCTCTCCTGTGTAGGGAGAGTAACAAAGAATAGCATCATTTCCTGAAGAAATCAATAGCCCAGAGGAGACATTTCTCCATCCAGCTATTGAAAGGAGCTGCGATAGCTGGATCTTTTTATTTTTCTTTTTGGGTCACACCCAGCAATGGTCAGGGGTTACTCCTGGCTCAGCACTCAGGAATTACTCCTGATGGTGCTTGGGGGACCATATGGGAGCCGGGGAATCAAACGTGGGTAGGCTGCATGCAAGGCAGATGCCCTCCCCCCAGTTATTGCTCTGGCCCCAATAGCTGAATCTTGAGCATTTCACCAGATTTTACACTGGACAATTCTCATGTTGCTAACTATAAATTGGGGTAAAGAGATCCACAAGGTAACAATCGGCAATTTACACAGGAAAGGAATATAACTTCCTACAGATCATTACTAAGGCCTCATTCGGTAGCACTGTCCTCTCGTTGTTCATCGAGTTGCTCGAGCAGGCCCAGTAACGTCTCCATTGTGAGACTTATTACTGTGTGTGGCATATCGAATATGTCATGGGGAGCTTGCCAGGCTTTGCTGTGCGGGTGAGATACTCTCGGTAGCTTGCTGGGCTCTCCGAGAGGGGCAGAGGAATTGAACCCAGCTTGGCCGGTTCTATTTCTCTTAAATTCTATGACAGAATAGTTAGGGACACAGAAGACCCTAAATGTCAGACATTATCAATTTAGAAAAGCTGTGAAACACTGGAAAGATAACATAGCCACAGATGGGGGTAAAGGGAAGGGAAATGCCTCTTTGTATATAAACAGCATACAGAAAAATAAAATCAAACCATATACATGTCCGTAAAACATCTGAGAAGGATCCAGAAAAGTTTCAATAAGAATTATTAAAAAATTATTTACTACCACTCATTACTATATATATTATCATATTAAGGCATTACAAAAAGGCAACGTTTTGTCTTTATTTCATTTTACTGAGCCCCAAAATAGGACCATTCATAAATCCAAATCTTCAAACTCTTTTTCTTGAAGGTTGAGCATTATCTTGCCAGTAGGGTTCTCAGGAACCTGATGTGCAGGTAGGGAAAGGACAGTATGTACAATTCCAAGTGACAATGCTGTATTTCCTTAGAAAAACAACAAAGATTGGCTTCTTTGAATGGGTAGACTGACCTCACCTCTGTGTGTTGTACATTTGCAATAGTTTTTTTGGAGATTGTTTTCTTTTTTCTTTTGGATATGGGACAATACCCTGCTTTCTCCTGACTCTCTGCAGTCTGGGATCACTCCTGGAAGTATTCAGGGGAGATGCTGGGGATTGTCAGGTCGGCCATGTGCAAGGCAAGAACCCTAATCACTGTATAACACAGAAAGTTATACTGGACAGAGCTACTCCACAACATTGCAGAGCAGGGCTTCAAAACACAGCCTTTATCTCTTCTTCCCACAAGCAGAATGTCTGCTAAAAGGAAAAATCTTTTATTTCTTATATTTAACCATCACTGGGGCTGGAGTGATAGCACAGCGGTGAGGGTGGTTGCCTTGCACATGGCTGATCCAGATTCAATTCCTCAGCCCCTCTCGGAGAGCCCAGCAAGCTACCAAGAGTATCCCACCCGCATGGCAAAGCCTGGCAAGCTACCCATCCGATATGCCAAAAACAGTAACAACAAGTCTCACAATGGAGACGTTACTGGTGCCTGCTTGAGCAAATTGTTGAACAGGAGGACAGTGCTACAGTGCTAACCATCACTGCCATTTTTGTTAAATAAATATTTTCTTTTTTTAAAAACTTTTATATTAATGAATCATCGTGAGATACATTTTGCTCAGATGATTCTGATGCTGAGAATGTCCTGGGGTCTTTGTGGGAGGTCAACCAGGGTTGCTGATAACTGAATGGCTCCCCCACTGACAGGTTGGGTTTCTACTGAGTTAAAAAAAAGAAAGAAACACCCCCCAAATCCCTAAAATACTTAATAAACAAAATAAAGCAAAATAACCCTCAAACTCAGCTATCTACAATCTATCATAAGAAGGAAGAAAAAAAAAACCCAGTAATTCAGAGGCATGGGTATTTCATAGACCACCTGCCATTTTAGGTCATCTGTTCTATTTTCAGATATGAAAGACTGGCTGTACTCACAGTGAACACTTTAACATCGTTTCTGTTTCTGATTTCTTCCACAAGAGCCAGTGGTTTTCCTTTCGGTATTGGGATTGTACCAAGAACTACAGTCCCCGGGGTGGACAGTATCTGATGAACAGTCTGGATGAAAGGCTGACTGAAGAGCTCCATTTTTCCAATTTCATCGATGACACACACCCCATGTCCTGTACCACTGCTGGAACTTGCCTGAGGATGACAAAGACATCGATTAAGACATTAAAGTCATTAAACAAAGGGTTCGGGTGTCCCTGTCCCCACTCATCAACATTGGTCATACCAGGGTGAGGCAACCATGTTATGGTCTACACAGAACAATTGGAAAGTTGTTCTAGAAGGGGCTCAGAAGATGGCAGCAGCTAGAAAATTCAACTTTCTGAACTACTCAGATTTCCTGGAAATTTTTACTTCTCTAGAAACAGATCAAATAACCAAACTTTGGAGCCTGAGAGGTAATACAGAGATTAGAGTGCTTGTCATACTCAAAGGATGCTGGTTCAATCCTCAACACTGCATATGGTACCCCAAGCACCGCCAGGAGTGATACCCAAGCACAGATCCAAGAAAAAGCCCTGAGGACTGCAAGATGTGCCCCCCAAACCAAAACAAAATAAAAAAACCCAACATTTGTATGTAGATACAATCAGAAACTAAGCAGGCCCACAATGTATCAGAATAAAGAGATGAAAAGGTAAGCTTAGGAAATTCTAGTTATACTTTATTTTTTCCATTTTGAGTTGTATGAGACTCCCTGTAGGATATAACATTTGCTGGCATGCTTTTGTATTTTATAATCTGCACTATGAGGGTTGGCAGGGGTTTCCAAAAGGAAACCAAAAGAAAATTGGAAGAAAAGGAATCTTGGTTTGAAAAAAAAAAAAAGAGTACAGGGCTTTTTTTTGTCCAATCTAAGATTCCCTTTCTAATGACTCTTCCCAAACCTCTCCCATTAGTACCAATAGATGGTCAGTGTAGCTACTCAAATAGGGCAGATCACTCTGGACATTAGGTTAAAATGCACGCACGCGAATACACACACACACACACACACACACACACACACACACACACACACACACATCTGTTTCTGCAGATAGTCCTTAAAAATTTTTAAATAGAAATGTCATCCCATCTGGTTACCCAGTTTGTTTTCTACCTAAAGAAACGAAAATACTAATTCAAAGAGGTATATCAGTCCCAACAGATATTCATTCAAAAATAGCCAAAAGTTGGAAAGAACCTAAGTGCTCATCCATAGATGTATGTAAAGAAGATGTGTATATACACACAATAATATACAATTTAGCTATTAAAAATCAAGTTTTGCCATTTGGAGCAAAACAGATAGCTCTTAAAAGACACTATGATAAATTAAATATGTCAGATGAAGAAAAAACAAACACGGGATAGTTTCACCTATATGTAAAGGTAAAAAGGTAAAGGCCCTCCCGTTGATCGTCAATTTGCTCGAGCGGGCCCAGTAACGTCTCCATTGGAGACTTTGTTGTTACTGTGTTTGGCATATCGAATAGTCTCGGTAGCTTGCCGGGCTCTCCGAAAGGGGCGGAAGAATCAAACTCGGGTCGGCCATGTTGGCCGCTTGTAAGGCGAACGCCCTACCACTGTGCTATCGCTCCAATCCTATATATAGAGATAAACCTATATGTAAAGATAAACAAACCTAATGAGCAACAAAATTTATAGACACTACGGGCAATCAATGGTTACCAAGGGAAATGGTCGTAGATAAATAAAATGGTGAAAAGAAATCAACTGTATGGTGAAAAACAAAACAGAAATTTAGTGGTGAATGTAAGATATATAGACAGTTGCATGTAATATACTGCACACTTGACACATATATAATGATACTAGCCAATTTCACTTCAATTAAAACTTATTTTCGGGTCACAGCAATAGCTGGCCTTGCACACAGCCAACCTGGGTCTGATTCCCAGCACACCATATGGTTGGTCCTCTAAGCCCTAGCGAAAGCATCCCTGAGGGCAGGAGAGACAGTACAGAAGGCAAGGCACTTTCTTCACACATGACAGACTCAGGTTCAATCCCCGGCACCTGTATGGTTCCCCAACCCCACTAGGCGTGACCCCTGAGTGAAGAGCCAGGAATAAGCCCTGAACACCACTGTCTGACCCCAAATCCACCCCCCTAAAAAAGTGATCCCTGAGCACTCAGCCAGGAGTAAGACCTGAGCAAACTTGGGTGAAATCCTAAAACATAAAACAAAACAAAATTATTTTGAAGATGACTCTTTCCATCTTGATATCAATCTTCCTCAATCTCTCCCTCACTTACTATAAAGGGAAAACTGCTGCTATGCTGAGGCTGATAAGGTCTATGTGGCCTCATTGAAATTCAGAGAACCGAGGTCTCCAAGTAACCTTAGCTCACTCACAAGTCTGTCCTTCTCAGTCAGGCCTCAGGGGACTCAGTCTCCAGTCAAATGCTTGACTACAATGTCAAGAGAGAAACTGAGCCTGAACCATTCTGTAAGGGCATTCTTTGATTCCTGATCCAGGAAATTGTGAGATAATATTTATTGCTTTCAATTGTGGGACATATGCTACAGAGCTGCAAATAATGAATAACTATTGTCCTCTCCTAAAGGGGCTTCTCAGAGAAAGCTGATGTGACTTTGAATAGTTTTTCTGTAATAGACACAATAGCACACATAATAAACGCTACAGAGAAAGCTAAAATTTACATGAAAAAAATTACATATTTCTATGTAATTATATTAAAATTGTATGTAAAGATGATTTACAAAATTCCTCTAGTAATGACCCAACTACAATGTGGGAAAGTATGGCACAGTTAAGTCAAGTTGTGCTCAAATTTCAAATACCAAAGCTACAGCAGTAAATTTGTTGGTGGTAGCCAGTGCCAGACAAGGCTGAGAATAGATACTAAAATTTGGATGGTATTCAAAGAGGTGGGAATTTTGTCTACTTCTCCTAACTTTGAGAGATTCTCGTCGGGAGAAGTTGTGTTTGAAAGGCTACTAGTAATGTTTTGGAACAGACAGGAGATTGTGGGGTCTAAATTTCAGGCAGTGACTGAAGGGAAGCATGAGACCACTGCTTTTCAAACTTAATAGTTCAGTGATAATCTTTTTATTTATTTTCCCACTTAACCTTACATAACTTATTTTGTATGTAAGGTTATAGCCAAAGTCTAGGAACAGTCCCCTTGTAATCACCCTACAGAGATCCAAATAATCCAACTTTTATATTTCTGATTTACTTTATCTATTAGTTTCAGAGTGTATGTGTGTGTGTGTGTATGTATACATGTGTATACACACATTATACACACATAAATACACACACCCAGTCTCTCCCTCCTAGGGAAAAAGATAGGGGCAGGGACAAGCTTCTGTTCAATTCTTTTGCAAAGGCTGGAATGATCCAATGCTGAGTGAAGACAGTTAATACCATCCTCCAGTGATAGGGTGAGAGAGGAAAAGAGTGTCATGGAATTAATCACTATTCCCTTTTTTTCTTGTCAAAAGTGAATGTCAAATTTGGGAGAAGTAAAGCAACTATCATCACCCTGTTTACCAGCTTATATCACTGAAGCAAGCCATTCCAACTGAACTCTTAATCAAGGTTTATGTAAGATATTCGGCTGATGCCAGAGACAATGAATGACTGCAGAAATAACCTTTCCCTTGATCAATATCTAAAAGCAAACAACAAATTGTGACAAATTAAAATGAAAGTTTTGAAAGCAGCCATTCAGAAATGAAAACATAAGTGAATGTGTGTAGATAGTTGTGCATTTTGGTATTTAACTGAATGTGAGAACAATGTAAATATAAAAATAAATATAAATCACATGGCTCTACAACTGTTTTTCCTGTGAGTCTCTACATTAATGACAACTCACAAATATTAATGAAAACTCTTCAGCTATTCGGACATACACACACACATATTAAATATTTATCTTAAAGCTTAGCTTAGTGAAAAATCCTCATTCACTCAGTAAAGAATTTGACATTTTGGGGCTGGAGCAATAGCACAGCGGGTAGGGCGTTTGCCTTGCATGTGGCCAACTCGAGTTCAATTCCCAGCATCCCATAAGGTCCCCTGAGCATAGCCAAGACGAATTCCTGAGTGCATGAGCCAGGAGTAACCCCTGTGCAATGCCAGGTGTAATCCCTCCTCCCCCCCCCCAAAAAAAAGAATTTAACATTTTTATTATCTAGGAACTAGAGGAATCTTAAAAAGAAGACTGAGTTTTATCTTTTCTTAAAGCCCTAGTATTACTCTGTGTATGTGTGTGTGTGTGTGTGTGTGTGTGTGTGTGTATCACAGTTTCTTGTCACCTGTTGACAAGTCATCTGTTGTAGTATATAAACATAGTAAAGGAAAAGAAATGGCCAAAGGTAACAGCCTGAGAATTGTACTACAGAACTGAGTTACCAGAGGGAGGAGGGAACGGGCAGCTAGAAAGGACACTGAGATGATGGCGAGGGAAGAGGGAAGTGGACACTGATGGGGGGTGTGGTTGTAGTACTTTGTATGCATGAAACACTATCATAAACAGTACTGTAAACCATGGTGTCTCAAAAACAATTATTTTCACTAAAAATGTCTGGGATTTTAAATCAAAAGTAGAAGCATTCTTGCTCTGTTGAGGGACAGATATCAAAGCTCACTCACAAGCCTATAAACACTTAAGATTGTTTTTCTAAATAACATATTAAGCTTAAAAAAATAAACCCAATAGGGCCAGAGCAAGAGTATGGCAAGCAGGGCATTTGTCCTGCATGTGGCCGACCCAGGTTCAATTCTCAGCACCCCATATGGTCCCCAGAGCCTGCCAGGAATGGTATCTGAGTGCAGAACCAGGAGTCAGCACTGAGCATCACCATGTGTGGCCCAATACACAAAACTAAAAAACAGAAAAAAACAAAAACAGAAACAAACCAAAAAAACCATCAATTTGCCTAAAGTTATTTTATTTTTATATACATTTAAGCTAGGGAAAAAAATGTCAGTAGCTATACAATACTCGTTTATAATGTTCTGGATTCTCTCCAGTGGACTTACAACACTAGAGCTCAGGTTTGAAAAACATTGGAAAACTGCCCCAGTTTCCAGTTGTGGGGGACTAATAAGAAGCTGTAAGGGTGACCTGAAAGTTAGAAATCACTGCAGACA